TATCCCTGAGCAGTGGGAAGGGTTGGGGGAAGTGTGTGTGAGCAGGAGAGGCCACTTGCCAGAGAGAGTGCTACTGGGATCCCCTCCTCTTATTCCCCCCCATCAGGTTCCCATGTAGGGGATTAGTCTGCTCTGCACCACTGTTCTTGACCAGGAGCAGATGCTGCCTGAGTGCAGGCATGAGCCTATGCTGTGTGCAACACTGCTGTGTGTTTTCATGACCCCAGCCTCCTTAGTGATGGCTTGTTGGGGGAAGGTGTCCCACCACGGAGGCCAAAGTAAGGCAGGCCTGTGCAGGAATCTTGTGAGAAGGAGCAAGGGGCTCCTGTGTGAAAGTGTCATGGAGCTGAGTGCTCCGTTCTAGTGCTCCATGTACACCATGTGCACAAGCTGTTGTGCGAGCCCCAGGCTGAGAAGGCTGAGTGAGGAGTGTGCAACCCCTCACAGCCTACCACCTGCCCCCGTGTGTATCTAGGGAATATTATGGAACTCAGATGAAGTGCCTTCTCTGGGACTGTCCGAGCCCGGAGAGACATCCTGAGAGGGGGAAACCGAGTACAGGCTGAGGATCAGCTCCTGGCTTACGAATATGGTGTCCAGGCTAGCCTGCTCCTCCTTCTCCTCCTCCTCTTCTTCCTTCTCTTCCTCTTCCTGCTCTTCTTCCTCCTTCTCCTCCACAACTCTGCTCTCCTGGAGGCTGACACCGGCATCTCCTAGCCAGAGTCAGCAATGATGGGGGAGGAGGTGACTAGCCCCCCTCCCAGGATGGTATCCAGCTGCTTATAGAAGCAGCAGGTGTGGTCTGCCACTCCAGAACAGGAACTTTGTTCCCTGGCCATGGTGTAGGATTGCCAGAGTTCTTTCATTTTCATCCAGACCTTGTCCAGGGTCCTGGTGTGCCCTTTGTCCACAAGGCTGATGGCCTTGCACGTCTTGGAATAGAAATCCTGGATGTTGGTCTCCTCCCCCCAGATCTTGAAAAGATCCAGACCTTGAAGTAGCCCACAGATGGGCTTCTATTCAGTAGGGCAAGGGCCAGGTCTCACAGATCCACTCGGGGCTACCAAATAGGGCTCTGGGCTGGAACCCAAAGCAAGTGGATGGGACTGGGTTCCCCCCTATCCCTCCTCCTGGCTGGTGGTCTGCCAGCAAGGAAAGAAGGACCTTTGGACTATTGGAGGGACTGGCCTCCAAAACCTCTGACTTGCCGATGATGAAAAGGGCTCTTGGAACAAGGTACCCTTGCCTTCTCAGAAGTGGTAGGGACACCGAGAGCCTCTATGGCATATGCAAAGACCCTGCCAGGAAGCGCAGGACCCAGGGAGATTAGTCCAGATGTGCCACACCAGCCAGAAGGCAATAAAGACTAAAGTAGACTGTGGTTAAAAAAGATGTGACATAGAATCATAGCCAGCTAGAGCTGGTAAAAGGAGTTCCTTGTGGATGCTACTCTGGGCAAGTTCAGTCTCAGGGAGGAGTCTAGGAGGACTTTCAAACTTAACATCTTATGGCTGTGCATCTTCAGTCATGGAAACTGCACCATAACTGCAAACACCTCAGGCTGTGTCTACACTGGCAAGTTATTCCAGAAAATCAGCCGCTTTTCCGGAAAAACTTGCCAGCTGTCTACACTGGCCACTTGAATTTCCAGAAAAGCACTGACGATCTCATGTAAAATCATCAGTGCTTTTCCTGAAAAAATATGCTGCTCCCGTTTGGGCAAAAGTCTTTTTCTGGAAAACTGTTCCGGAAAAGGGCCAGTGTAGACAGCACAGTAGTGTTTTCCACAAAAAAGCCCCGATACCCTTTTCTTCCTCATGTATTTTGATGGTAAGGTCTTGGGGAGCCAGGATAATCTATTAGGCGACGTCTACACTGGCATGATTTTCCGAAAATGCTTTTAATGGAAAACTTTTTCATTAAAAGCATTTCCGAAAAATCATGCCAGTGTAGACGTAGCCCTTAGTGTTTTCTTCTGCCACCATCTGTGAAGAGGTATTGCTCAAGAACTAAGAGAGATGGCTAACAGTAATTTTGTATGTTGTAAGGGATAGATATCATGTGTCCTATAACATCCCATTGGTTTGCTGGGCCTGATTCTCCACTGTCTAGCTCTTTGCATAGCTATGTATGTACATTTATGCAAATAGGTATAAAACACTACTATTCTGATTTAGTAGCATTTTGTACCTATTTTGCAGAATTGTAAATGGTACTGCTCGATTATTTTGTTACCTGAGACTACCCGAATCAAATTTTCAAATGAAAGCCAATTTGATCTCCAGCATTTTTGTGCACGCAATAAGTTTGTCATGAAAAAATGTGTGCAGAATTTGTAGGCAACATTCGAAACTTCAGTCCCATGGGCAGCAGGTATCAGAGGTGAGGGAAAGCTTTGGCATGGTCCTGCCTACCCTCTGCCACCAGAACACCTACTGTAGGCATAATAGGGGTGGAGTGTTGCTGCCCCTAGTGCTGCCCTCCCTGTGCTCCAGGCTGGAAGGCTGGGACTGCATGCTCCAGGGTCAGGGAGGCGGGGGCCACATTCTGCCCCTGTGCTCCAGGGCCAGGGAGGGAGGAGAGTGTGTAGCCCAAGCCTTCCTGGTGCTACAGGGCTGGGGATTCTGGAGCCATGCACCCTCCTTCCTCACTGGTGCTTGGGCCCTGGGGAGGCTGGGGGCATGGGCCTTCCCCGAGGTGCTGGGGGAAGAATGGGGCCACATGCCACCCCTACCTCTTCGTGGTGCTGGGGCATGGGACCTGAGCAGAGAGGACAAGATTGGGGCAGCTCTACCTTCACCAACCATCCATGTTCATTCCTTAGAATCACTAAGGAAACTATCAGAAGCCAACCTGCTAATAAGAGGTCTGATTCCCTACTCAATCACGCTGCTTTTATAGCTGTATAATTCCACTTAAGTCATCAGTTAAGTAAAACTAGCAAAACAGTAGGTGGAATCAGTTTCACACATTCTTGTCTCTACAGCATGGTACAGAAAATTCTTATAATGGCCAAAAGAATATTAATTCACTATAAATGCCTAATTCAGAGTTCAGTTGCAGCAATGAGAGCTCTGGCAGATCAGAACAGACAATGCTACTTTAAAAAGAAGGGAAGAGGAAGGAGGACATGGGTAGTATAAACAGGGCTAGGCAGTCATAATTGCTCCCTATGTATTATATGTTCCACTTCTAATATTTATCTTTGTCTCTTCCCTTAGTTTCTTTTTAACAGAGGGTCCCCTGCTAAGGAAGAAAGCAAAGAAGAAAAAGAAGACTGTCATACAACCATTCATCCCTGTCTACAACAGCCTTTTGGTTTCACAGCCTATTGCATTACATGCGTATGTTCTAAAGTAAATCTATGTTGCCGGTCTATAAAAGAAATGCAAAGTAAAATGAGACCCAAAGTGTTAATGCCTCAAGCTATGGTCTGTGTGATGGCTCATGAACCCTAGAATTTCAGAAATATGTGGTTCATGAAATAGACAACATTTTAACCTACAACATGGCCAAATTCTATCCTTAGATGAATGCATGTGACTCCTTTTGACTTTTAATGAAATTCCTGCACACACATCAAAAGAAATATTTGTTTCACAAGCCCTGATCCTACAGATCCTTACTCTGTATGGTGAAGAGTTAAAAATCAAGTTAATTTTAAAAAATAGTGTCAAATTCAAAAGTTTGGATGATCTACATAATAATTGTTTCATGTAAAAGAGAACATGTTTATGTACTGAGTGTGCATGTGCATGCTTCTTTGAATTCACAATGGCTTAGAAAGCTGGGTTAACCAGGTGTCCTGATTTTATAGGGATAGTCCGAATACTCAGAACTTTGTCTTATATAGGCACCTATTATATACAAGTGCCAATTTTTCACCTATCTGGTCATCCTTTAGAAAGGGTGCTTCAAATCCACCATGCTTCAATCCACCATGCTTCAAATCCAACTCACACGGTGTTGGATGTTGAATGCCCACAGTTTCCATTAAAGTCACTAGAAACCAAAAACGCTAAACACTTCACATTCCGCACAACTCATAGACTTTAAGGTCAGAATGGACCATTATGATCATCTAGTCTGACCCCCTGCACAGTGCAGGCCACAGAATCTCACCCACCCCTCCCAGAATAATCCTCTCACTTATATCTCAGATATTGAAGCCTTCAAATACTTTGAAGACCCCAAGATGCAGAGAATCCACAGTGCAGGCCACAGAATCTCACCCACCCCTCCCAGAATAATCCTCTCACTTATATCTCAGATATTGAAGCCTTCAAATACTTTGAAGACCCCAAGATACAGAGAATCCTCTAGCTGTGATCTGTCCCCCATGCTACAGAGCAAGGCGAAAACCCTCCACGGCCTCTGCCAATCTACCCTGAAGGAAAATTCCTTCCCGACCCCAAATATGGCGATCAGCTAAACCCTGAGCATGTGGGCAAGACTCATCAGCCAGACACCCAGAAAGTTCTCTATAGTAACTCCTATCATCCCTCCATTGACCTATTTCCCACTGATAATGAATGGTCAATTAGTTACCAAGATCATGTTATCTCATCAAACCATCCCCTTCATAAACCAATCTAGTTTAATCTTGAAACCAGATAGATCTTTTGCCCCCACTACTTCCCTTGGAAGGCCGTTCCAGAACCTCACTCCTCTAAAGGTTAGAAACCTTCGTCTAATCTCAAGTCTAAACTTCCTACTAGCCAGCTTATATCCATTTGTTCTTGTGTCCACATTGGTATTAAACTTAA